GAGATCCTGCTTTCCTTTTACTGTATTATATCTTTCTATTTGTATTTCTTCATTTGAGTTCTTATACTAGGGAAACTATACGATATTTACACATTTTGTGTGCTGGGATTTGAACATAGCTTCATGGGCCAAGCTGTACTGAATGATACCTGGCCTGGTGTGACTTTCTGCTCACCCTGTGTGGCGCATGTGGTACCTGAGGCACCTGTCTGCTTCCTCCCGCGGTGGCTGGGGTCTGCCGCCGGCTTCTCTCTCTGCTTGCTCGACTCTTCGAAGTCCGGGAGGGGTCGGCTCCTGCAGCAATGGGCAGACCCCATTCCTGCTGTCTGGCCTTCTGCTATGGGTGCCTGTGAGGTTAGGGGGGACCTCAACATCTATGTCCTGGCCTTTCATGGCTCTGAGAGGTGGAGGCGAGGAAACAAAGCAGAACTGGAATGAGCAGAGTGTGGACTCCTGAGCGATCCCTGTGGAGACCGCCAACGCCAGGGCTTGGCTCAGTGTTGGTGGAGCTGCGGGGAGCTGGGAGGGGCTGCAAACGCCTGGAGGGCCAGCCTCCAGGCCACTTTTCTCCCTTCTCTTCCTTCCTTCCTCCCCTCTTGTTTCCCTCCTTCCTTCTCCCCTTTTTCCCTCTCTTTTCCTGTCTCTCCCTCCTTCTTTCCCTCTTTCTTCATCTCTGTTCCTCACCTTTACCTCCCTCTTCCTCCTCCTCTCATTCTCCCTCCTCCTCTCTCTCTTCCTTTCTCTTTTTTTTTTTTTTTTTTTTTTGTGGTACCGGGGATTGAACTTGGGACCCTGTGTTTGCCCCGCAAGCACTTACTCTACTGAGCTATCTCCTCAACCCTTCTCTCTTCCTCTCCCTTCCTCTCTGCCTCCTCTCTCCATCTTTTCCTCGCTCCTTTTCCTCTTCCTCCTTTTCCTCTCATTCTCCCTCCTCCCTCCCTTCCTCTCTCCTTCCTTACTCCATCTCGTCTTCTCTCTCTGTTCCTCCTCCCTTTTCCTCTCATTCTCCCTCCTCCTCTCTCTCTCCCACCTTCTCTCCCACCATAACCCAAGGAATAAGGCACCGATCTCTCCAAGGTGTCCTCGTCCCTCTACCCTGTCATGGCCACACCCCACTAATGGGTGTTTGCTGAGCCCCATGAGCCCAGGCAGTGGGGTAGATGCAGCTGCAGGCCTGCAGGCTGTCCCCACAGCCCCTGGGTTTGCAGCACGTGGCTTTGGAGGCCCAGGGTAGGTGAGGGGTAGACGCAGGGGCAGGCGGGGCAGAGAGCCCATGAGCACACAGTAGTTGTTAGGACGAAGCTAGTTTTTCAAGGTATGTAATACCCACCTCCCTAATACCCGTGGCTAGCAGACCAACTCAGCCAACTTCTCAGGACCAGACAGGCCAGGTGGGGAACTGTGGCCAGACAGCTGTGGTTCTGCTTGGTCCTGTGGTTCACCTGGCATGTGCCACGGGCAGGCTGCCGAGTCCAGACTTGCTTTGCCTACTGAAAGATAGTCTCCGAGCACACAGGCCCAGAGCAGATGGCTGGAGCTCATGATCTGGACATGGAACCAGCAGTTTCCTGGTCCCAGGATCACTGCACCGAGCCGGGTCTGGTGGCAGTGCACTCTCTTAGCCCTCGGAGGCTGAGGCGGGAGGAGCTGAGTTCAAGGCCCTCCTGGGCCACATAATGAGTTGCTTCAAGACCACTTGCACTGGATAGTGAGACTTATCTTAGGAAAACAAAGGGGACATTCTGCTTTCCAGAATCCCTCCTGCAGAAACCAGAACCTTTTTTTCTTTTTCTTCAAGAAGCAGTTTAGTCTGGCCTTGAACTCACTTAGTATTTTTTTCTTCTTACATCCAATAAAAACTCTTCTGACTTCCAAAAACAACAAACAAAAAAATGTTCATGCCCCTTTTACTCATCAGTAATAGCATTCGTAGGAGCGCCTGCTCTCAGCGTGAGCGTGGCCACTCCAGTGGCACGTTGGTGTACCTGGAGAACTCAGCCCGGGCCTGGCAGACACACGGTTTCACCCCGCGGAGCTGCGCCTGGGTGGTGATGCCCCGTGGGCACTCAGAGGGGGGAGAGGGGACACTTGGACCCAGCGCGCTGCCCCTTAACTGCGAGCACCTTATTCTAGGGAGGCAGTTTGCATGCATTTTGTTGTGTCCTTGGACATGATGAGAATTAACCCTAAGAAAGCCCGACACTGACAGATCTCCTTGACCGCAAAAGTGGTTTGTATTTGCAGGAAGATGAGAAAGAAGAAAGCTGTTACGTTTTGCAATCAAGCAATAACGAAGACAAGGCTGAATTTCCGGGAGCCATCCGAGACCCAGAGCTGCCGCTCCTCCTGGAGGCCCCCCAGGTATTTTGTGAATTTATCGCCCACATGAATGATTTGCTGTGAGCTGAGGTTGTATACAGGAGACAAAAGCTCGGCGGCCCTCCCTTGGCTGAGTAGGTACAAGGGAGATACCCTTTCTCGGTTCCCATGGTTTTCTTCAGTGGGAGCCTGTGCTTTGCCACCTTCGTCTCCACACGGCACAGGCTAGGAGAAGGCGTCTCCCGAGGCGCACGCCTCCTGGTGCCACTTGTGCCGTCTGCATTCATTCTGAGGCCCCAACGCACTGCTGCAGGTGGCCTGCATGTGAAGCGCTATGGAGAGAGGGGCCACGCAGCCCACACTCACCTCTGTAAGAAGGGTTACCCGACAGCCGTGCTCTGTGCTGTCACTGTAGGAAGTGTATTCTGGAGCTTTGCCTTTCTTGTCTTTAAACAGACTGTGCTTTTGTGTGTAGCTAGGGGTGGCTTGTGTTACCTGCTAATAGCCTATGGTCTCGGCAGCATCTCACACCGATCTGCATCCCTGGCATCTGTGACTTCGGGTCGTTTTGATAACCGTGTGATATATTCACCTATGTCCTCTATTGCTTTAAAGAAATAACCAGATGGAAGTATTTGATATACTGTGTTAACTGAAAATCCATACCATGATGATGGTTAGCTGTGAGCTGTAACTAGGGTGGAGAGCAGATTTCCCCTGAGAATGCATACCCGGGCCTGCTTCACGGACAGACTTCCAATAGGAGTCCTCCTTGTCTCCTGGGACGGCCGGGATCCCACCTGGCCCAGCGAGTGCCCTGCTGAGGCAGAGGCCCCAGACCCTCGACCCCCGCGGCGTTCTCGGTGTTCTCCGCAACTGTGTAACTGTTCCACTTCAGACTGCTGAATATAAATCTGTCCCAGTTACTCTTCGCTCATTGCTGGGACAAATACCTGACACCCAAAATGAAAGAAGGAAAGGTTTGTGTAGCTCACATTCACTGGAGGTTTCAGTCCATACTCAGCTGGTTCCAAGGCAGAGCGGCATGTGGTACAGAACAACCTTTCTTGGCAGCGGCAAAGAGCAAGAGAGCAAAATGGAAGAGCAGCAGCAACGATGGCAACAGAGAGCGAGTCTGTCTGTCTCCTTTATGTTACATTCAGGCTCTCTGCCCTAGGCTGGGTGTAGCACTCACACCTATAATCCCAGCAGTACTAAGACCCATAATCCCAGTAGATCATGAGTTAATCTCAAACTCTAGAAGTCCCTGCCCCATGACTGCATGAGGCTTTGGGGGGACAACTAGACACAAACGATAACAAAAATCAGAATTTCACCATATCCATTCCTTTTTATCATGTTGAGTGAAAACCTGTATTTCTGTTATACACTGTAAAAGCGTCCTACTCAAGGTAGTTGAGACGTGCTGATACCTTCAAATAGGATCCCTTTCAAGTTACTTAAGGCGGTCGGCCAACCTCAGTCTGGGCTTCTTAAGTGCTGGGGTGAAGTGAGTCTGTGCTTGCACACTGCTTTTATGTTAGGTGCATGGGTTAAATATTTAGCAAATTCCTTGCTACTGGTTAACGAACCTCTTAACATACCCCATCACCTTCCCGCGGGCACATTCCTGCCTCCACCACAAGGTTCCCAGCCTTTCTGGGCCGTGGCTTCTACAGAAGTGATCTCCACTGCAGTGGTCACCAGCACTTTAGTGAGGTCCAAGGAAGGTACAGTTTAACACAGCTCCAAATTTTATTCACAGGGATTTCGAGATGAACCACACTTTAGAGAAGAGCTTGTGGACGAACCCTTCCTAGACTTGGGGAAGACTTTCCGGTCCCAGCTAAAGGAGATCGACAACAGTCCGGAGGCCTGGGAGATGCAGGAGTTTCTGAGCCCAATGCTGCAGGATGTGGGAGAGCAGAGGGAGCTGCTGGCAGACGAGGAGTACGTGCTATACCAGCACCGCCTTCGCGCCCTGGAGCTGCCCTCCTCGCCCGCGCCTGCTTGCCCGGAGCTGCACTCAGGCGCACAGTGGTTACCTGACGACTGTTCCCGTGGCACGGAGTCCCCAGATGCCAGGTCCCTGCGGAGTTTGTACTCCCCCAGCATGCAGCAGTACATGGTAAGGCGTTGGCACGTGGCATCCACGTCTTACCCCTGCTCTCGCTCCCCAACCTTCTGCTAACTTTCAAACAAAGAGCACAACTTAAAGGTCTTTTCTTCAGTCCTTGCTCATAAGGTCCCCACAGAGTATGTAGCTGTCAGTGGGAGTCTTTGTTACACAGCGTGTCATGGAGCCAGTGAGCTGCATCTGCCTGGCTGGCAGTGAAGCCTTTGCTTCACTTTCTTAGCAGCGCTCTGTCCCTGATACCCCATTTCAAGGACAGATTCTTTTAACGTTGCCAATTTCCTCTTAAATTTTCTTTGGAAAGCACAGCAGTGTATTTCCTATGGAATGTTTTTGTCAGGGAAGCTCAAAGCAAATTAATGAACAATTATATGTTCCATTTGATATGAAAATAGTGAACGCTAGAAAACCATGTTGGATTTGAGATGCCTTCTGTTTATGATGTGCCAGGAGGGTATTTTGTTCTTTCATTTGACTTTATTACTACTTATAAAAACAGGTTATGAAAATGTTTCCTGGGCTGATGAGATGGCTCAGTGGTCTAAAGCACCAACCTAGAACAAGCTTAGCAAAGCACAGGGACCGCGGTTCAATCCCCCAGCACCACATGCCAGCCAGCCCCGCCCCCTGGTGGGCTGAGCTGGCCACACACACACACACACACACACACACACACACACAAATAAATAAAATTTTAGAAAAGAAAATGTTTCCTTTGCAAGAATAGAAACTACAACCTTTACAAAATACACACTTGTAATTGTTACAATATATGACCTTGTGTATACCTTGAACACTGTGTTTTGGAATGATTCCCTCGAAAAGTTGGAAGAAAAATTTTCTCTAGGTTTACTCATATAATGTGATAGTCAAATATTTAAGCCATAGTATTGAAGCAAAAACATGTATCCAGTATATAGATCCAAAGGGATTTGACCCTCAAGGTCCCAGAGATTCTTTCATTAAGCAAGATAGAAAACTGGAGAGTCAGCCCACCCCGGGGGGAGGCCCAGGTGTGGTTCGCTTTTCACAGCGAGAACCTGCTTTGGGCAGGGCTTCTCCCTCCCAACCCCATTTTTGGAGTGTGGCTCCTAAAAGATGATTTCTAAGATACTTCTTAGCTCTAAAATGCTGAGGCTATAATTACACATTCAAAGGACAATGCTTTTCCAGGTCTGAACTCCAGTGCTGTTAGGTTAAAGCTGTCATTGAGATGACTCACCTAAGTGGACTTGCATGGGCTATGTCAGTGGAAAGCATTAGTTACAGTCATGCCTAAAGTCGCACCTTGGGGCTACTGGAGAAAGCCTTCCTCACCAAGGCTCTCATCCCGAGACAGTTCTGCACTTTGGAAGAACCACACTGACAAGGTAGAAAGCAGCTTACAGCTTTCCAGCTCCATTGCTTAGGATGACGCTGGGTGCGGACTCCACTTGGGCCCACGCCTCGGGCATGCGGAGCTCGCTGGGCAGAGGGGTGTGCACGTCCTTTCTGTGCACTGCTCAACTCCCACGCCTCCCTGGTGGTCAGATTCTCTCTCTAGCGGGAGAGTGCTGGCTGGTGATAAGCCAGACACAGAGCACGCGGTGTGCATGTGTGGTGTACATCGTGTGCTGCTTAGCATCATGCTGATGCGGCAATGTTTTCTCTATGCAACAAAGTATAAGTCAGTCAAGTATAACAGATTGTTAACGTTTAACATGAGCCTTTTTACATATAATTCTATAGAGGAAAAGACCATAATAGGAAGTTAAATAGCAGAACTGTACTTCAAAAAGTTATTTAAAATATAGTTTAATAGCCTCTGTGTTGAAATTAGCAACAAAGGGAGGTATCTATTAGGGTAACCCTTATGAAACTGTAGTTTTCACCAGTTAATTAGTTGTTTTTTTGTTTTTTTTTTTTAATGGAACCAGGGATGGAACTCAGGACCTTGCACTTGCCAGGCAGGCGCTTATTCTTTGAGCTACCTCTCCGGCCCTTTACCAGTTAAAATGGTCAACTCTTGACGATTTCATATTGTTCAACCTAATAATATCCTGAGAAAATTTAATTGGGTATCACACTATAAATCAAAGAGAATTTATAGAAAATTACATTTCAAGTGAGAAGACTTAAGGATAGAAATGTTCATACTGGTCATGCCAAGATTTAGAGATTGGAAATCTTGAAAGTTAAATTAATGCAGTATCAATAAAACAGAAAAAAACTAAAATTATAAAATGATGGCTAGTTGCTAATGCCACTGAAACAGAAAACTACTGTGCCAACCAAATTTGGCAATTTAAAGTTTGAGAAGTCACATGTAAAGCTCCAGCATTAAAGCAAAAGGCTGTAAGTATCAGTTAAAAAGTATGGTCACGGCTTATGAAACCCTTGCAAATCAGGCAATTCATTTGTACTGACACCAGTAAGTAGCACCTATACAAATTTCAGCTTTGGGGGCTGGTGAGATGGCTCAGTGGTCTAAAGCACCTACTTAGAACAAGCTTAGCAAAGCACAGGGACCGCGGTTCAATCCCCCAGCACC